TTTTCTATTGTATAGTGGTATCTTATAGAGTGAAATACTCAGAGCCTAGGTATAATTCATTAACAAATCTGTTATTTGAATATTTATATTTTATCAAATAATATACTTTATCTCATTGTTGGACTAATTTCCTCGGTACATTGTATGTGATTGTGAGTCGCAAGCAGAATGTAATGCCTGTATTAATTTGCACATTTGCAACTTCTTTAGTCGTAGGGCAGCCTACATCATTGCTAATATTATTAATAAATTAAAAGAATTTCAATATACAATTTTTTAGTCTCTTTCTCTGTAACTAATGTAATTTCTCGTCCTAAGGTGCAACATTAAGCAACGCCCAACCATCGTCAATTTGGTCATAACATACAGTTCTTTTATATACCCTGCATTTCTTAAAACTAATATTGAGTTAGAACTGCTTGCTTTTAAAGCGAATAATCGTGTGATTCAAGGAAACCATCTCTTTAAAGTGGTACTACGTCTTAGAATGAACATAAAATTTAAGAAATTGAAACTTGGCGAATCATAGCCAGAAAATATACCTGGTGTCATAAATAACATAACAGGATCCTTATATAATCCGATAAATCCAAAAAACTTAGTAATTATCCATCAATATGCAATTAACTATTGAAAACGCTTCATATCAAGATTAAGCGTTTTTCAATATTTACTTAGTTTTATGAATTTTCCAATTTTCTAGATTTTACAGGGATTCTGTTGTAACTTTATGACACCAGGTAAGCTAACTGATAAATATTATACTCATATGGACCATTTCGAGAACTTAAATTTTATGTTCATTCTTAGACTTAGTATCACTTTAAGAAGGGTAAACCATTCGTGTCGGTATAGGCAAATATCTTAAATGTCTTTCGATGGCAAACCCTGCTTATTCGCGAAGAACATGAAAAGAATTTTGATGCTTACACACAAAATATGGAAGTGTGAAAAAACTTAATTACCATTTTATTGATGTTTGGATCAATTCTTTTTATGTATGAGAAAAGCCAATAGCGATCACAACCCACAACCTTGGGATATTTATCGGCAGCTCTACTAACTTTTTGACAATTGCCAGATGCCAATACCTACCCGTAGGCTTTTTAACTTTTTCTCGTCTTGTCATATTCTTTGGTCGATCAGAGATCACACGATTCAAAGACACGAGAAAATATAATGGAGACGGAAAAATAATAGAAGTCATATATCAGATTCAACATGGATAATTGGGAATATAACTTCAAACTGTTTTCAATATGGTGCAGAGTGTCAGCGATGTCTGTGTTTGAAATAGTATACTATGTCCAGTGGTTGTCGGAGAAGGAACGTAAAACGCTAATAAATGTGTGTCGTCGATGGACATATTAATGCTCTTAGTACATCATATTTTGTGACATCCCTAAAATTCAGATTATAAAGCAATATTAGTCTCCTATAACAAGCAGTATCAACTTTTACTGTTCATCAAGGGATATTTCTAAAATATTTCATTTTAAAGGTATATTACCTGTTATGATGACCAAATATTGAAATATCGTTTAAAATGAGTCTGTGTTCATCAGTGGACTTATCTGTTGTCATAAATATACAAAGGAATCCCTCTATAATCCAATAAATCCGTAAAACAAAGTAATAATTCATTGTACTAAATAATGTTTTAGTTTAATAGATATATCGTCTTATATAGAGATACTATTCTTTATTCATGACACCTGGTGAGTCCGACTGATGAATATAATTATACTCTTATTAACCAAGTTTTATGTCAATTCTAAGAGGTAGTATCCTTTTAAAATATGAATAAAATCATATTAATGGTTGTAGATACTATTCATAACTACCAAGAACAATGAATGAATATTCATTAAGCGGAAATTTTAAATTGGTAAACATAAGGAGTAATTAACATTACTAGAATTGGCTCAATTTTGACATGAAAGAAAAACAATCAAAAGTTGAATAACAATTCACAGTGCTTGTGAACATGCTAACAATATGGCGTGTTAATGTATTTTTTCTGTTATTTTTTAAGAGGTATTCATTGACTTTCAAACACGATCAGTGCCATAGAAAACTGCTTATTATGTTCGGAATGCTGCACTGAATATTGATGCGACATCGATATGATTCACAGTAAAGATAGTATATACATGTAGGGTAGGAAAGGCTAAATGAGTTGGGTGCTTGTTCAATGTAGGCAGTGAGGTATGAGATTCTGGCATAGGTGTCGGTAGTACCTGGAACCCGGTTTCCAAACTTCAGTGAAAATGGTATTGAAAGATCGTTTAGTCGAAAGGATAGGGACCCTTATAGAACACTGTGCACAGATTTTCCGGCCGAAAATAGTTGGCTAATAAAAATTCCTTGGAAAATAGAATAAAATTTTGCGATAACACCTGTTTATTAATATGTGTGTTTATATTTATTTCGATTATTCGTTATCGATTTCTGTTTATCGTTAAAAGTAAGTTAGCTATCACGAATTTTAAAACAATTCCAACAAGAGTTATTAAAAATGCCCAAACATAACTTTAGGATGAGTCATTATGTTGGCAAAGGCATCACGAAGTGTGAACAGTGACGATTGTAGTTGAACTTGAGCATAAAGAATAAAATGCTAGAAGTGTTACAAGGTGTGTTCAAGTATGAAAAAACTACTTTGATGTTTTCAAAGTGATGGATGGATGATTCATTCAATTCAAACATAATTACACCCACAATTCCCTTTCAATAAAAAATTTAATTGACTTACAGAGTTGTGTATTATTGAAGTTACAAATTGTTTGTTCTATGTTTCTGCAAACAACTTAAAATTGATCCTGGCTTTGCTAAAGGACCCTTCACAAATCAATGACATGTTTTCGTTTTATTACATCGTAAATATTCCAAATGTGAACACGTTTTTAAACTATGTAAACATGACTTAAAAATCTTGCAATCACTATACTATCAAAGAGTGTGCATTCGAGTGCCTATGAGAAAAACGTAGCCATATGATGTACAAAACACTTTCATTTTAATAAAATGCAACATGAAAAGTGTTAGTTATAATTAATTTTTATCCAAACTTTACAACAATAAAGGAACAGAATCGCCATTTTCGGGGGGCTGATTTGGGTCTTGAATATATGATAATTATGTAAATAGTCTTCAAAAGTACTATATAACTGTACACAAATCGCATAATTCCCTCTAAAGTACCTCAACCTAGGAATTTTACCTTCTATTTCTATACATGATTTTCTATATATGGCAGTTTCAAGAAATGACAGTCCTCAATTTAGCATCCAAAAGCGGATAATTCTGGACACACATGGATTTGAGGGCTAAAATTCGGACGGTGAGCTGTGAACACTATTGCTGATTACATAGGCTAGTAAATTCGCGTTTCTGGGACTAAAGTACAAATGGTCAAACGAATGGCGCACCTGGGTCTTTAAGCAAGATGCTGACCCTGTGTAAATCCCATTTTTATACCAATATGCAATCTAGATTTAATTATTAACGTAAATGCCAATTTTGAAAAATTGGATATTTAGGCCAAAAATTTAATTTGGAAAAACTAAATCATAATCGTGCTGAAAATTCGATAAGTTATCTGAAAAAGGACACCCAGAAATAATTTGAAGAAAATGAGATCATCTAAATTGGCTCATGACAATTTTTAAACCATCCATTAGAAGAAACAGTGATTGAAATATTGGCAGTGACGAACGAGAAGATCATAGGAAAAAACGTAATTATAGAATTGTTGTGATATCAACTCTATACCCATTCCAAAGTTTTTTCTCATAATATTATTTACACCATTAGAATGGTATAATGAGAATTCTGAAGTGATTCCAGACAGATACACAAGACTTAAGTTACATATTCCCTGAAAATTTTCTTCCGAATGGGTGGGAGTATAATGATAACACTCATGGATCTAAATGATTTACTCTTGTAAATTTTATAATTTGAACAAGTATAGCGGTCAGAACATGTGACAGTGACTTCATTATTAAGCCCATCGGCACCTGTACCTATCCTATTACATAGCAAGAAAACATACGCCAACCACAGATATTACGACTCCAAATGGCATCAACTGGTGATGCGTTTTTGTACAGCATATAAAAAGCGTTCATCGAATTGTTACCAGAAATCTAAATCAAATCGGAAGAAATGGACGTACATCAACTTAAGTGTTAAGTATTCGTGTATTCATATTGATGGTTTCTTTCTGAATTCCATCCCAATCATTTATATGTTTTATGTATCCATATTGTTTAGAGGCATGGGTCCCTTTACGATTCTTGTTGTCAGTTAGACCGACAGGTCTTTGTAGACAAATTGATTACTTAATTCAAAATTTCTATTTTATTCTGATCATTAAGCCGTCCAGTATCAACTGATAACTTGATGCCGCATCACGATATGGGAGAAACGTTGTGTGAACAGGACACAAACTTATACTTAAAGCGTCTCCTAGAGTTCTATAAATCTATACAGAGACCAGTGGTCGTACCTTTCAAATCAATATGATAGCAGGATTCCACGTCTTACTACTAATCATTCAAACATTCACTGTCATTTCATAACATTCATTTAGTCGGCGTACACCATTTTTCATACGTTTACAACATTTTGTGTAATGTAATGGGATAGACGGTAGCTAAATGAGAAAACTTATTGAAGTTGAAGAAAGTGCTGTCTAGTTTGAGACTAAGTTCGGTCCAGTGAGTTCCCTGCTAACGGCTGATTATTACAACCAATAAGAAGGGTAGAAGATTTCAGCAAGTAGTTTCCAGTGTTTAATATGTAGACGCGTGACTAGAATTGATCAAGATTTCAATGTTTACTGGATCATTGGGTATTCTAAAATATTTCAACTTTTCTTTCTCAATATCGAATTCATCGCCTCTCATTATACGTGATAATTAAATTGAGCGACACTGATATCTCTACCATTGCCGACTCAAGTATGGGCGTATCGACTTGGACATTCAGCAGCAATGACAAAATCTCTTGGAGGCAAATACAGTGCCGTATATTCACTTTCTATGGATTCTTACCCTGAACTAACAGACAATTGCCTGACCCATGAGGACGACCAGGATGTGGGGTCGGGCAAGGACTCACCGGTATCCCTACCCCAACATGTGGGGTGGTCGGATGACAGTGACTATGATAGACCGCGATTAAAAGGACACAATGATAGTCGTGTGAAATGTATGTGTTGTATAATATGGATATTATTTTTGTCAACGAGTGGAATGGTGATTGTTTTAGGGTTGATTTATACAGGTGTGGTACATATAACGACAGTGTACAACGCTACAGCCAGTCGTATAGTCACTACCCATAGTATTTATCCTAATGGTACTTCAATACGTACTTCAGATAGAAAATTACAGGTAAATATAAGATCTATATTGTATCATGTCGAGATTATTGATTTCATTTCATTAATGAGATTAGGTAGTTTTAACATCTTAGACATCAAGGTGGACAGACTAATCTTTTCGTACCTTTATTTCCAAGGTCGCCTGCGGCGTTTTTTCTTTAGTGTTTCGACTCATTACATTGTCAAATGATATGAAATAATATAAATCGTTTCTCCAAAATATATTACAATAAAATATTGTCGATAGCATTGAATTTTACGCTGAAAATACCACGTACATGATAAAAAATGATCAAACACGATGTAAGATAAATCAGCACGTTTTAAAAGGGAACAACTAAAACCAGGACTCGATCCGTGTGAGATTTTTTTTTTAAGTAAGAAGGATGCTTTTGCTGAGAACCTTTGCGAACTTGGATGTTTCGTCGCTTATGTAATAGCAAATTCTAGTGAGATTCGATTAACCATTCCAGTGGTGAACTCCAAAAATTGAATCTGGTGTTTTTTTCATATTATTTTTGTCGATATCGTACTTGGGATTCTACATTTAGCACCGAAGATCACGTATACCACAAATAATGAATTATCATTTACCTCTATTGTCTGAAATATTTCAAAGCCTTTTGTTCAGATAAGACCTCTTTCATTAGTCTTTCTTGTTCGCAAGTTTGTCCAAAGGCAGTATATTAGACGTCTAAGACGCCAGACAAAAATTAAAATTCCTTTGTATATGATAAAATGTGCAAATAAGACCATATTATATAAAAGTTAAAGGCTTGAAGCGACAGAAAACCGAGAATATAAAACATTACATCGTTTATAGGGTATTAATTAATGTACATACATTCTTAAACAACATTAATTTAAAATAAATTATTGAATATTTAAAATGTTGCTTTAAGAATGCAGATTGGAATTTCGCTTTTTTTCGAGTGTTATAGATAGTGCAAGTTAAATATTTCTCCATCTTGATAGAGAAATGAAAAAGTATGAGATTTATTGCTATCGTTGAAACTAATGCTTTGTGTGATCTTTGCTTGCAATCTAGACTTTTGGTGCAAGATGTTCATGAGAACATTATCTTATAGAAGCAGTAGCATAGGTCAGAAAATTACGTTTTGTGATAAAACTAAGTGCAAATAAATGATTTTACGTGTAATGGTAAAAAATTTGTACGTTCTTGAATACTAGAAGACTTCCACTCATTTTATACGAACTTGTATTATAGTGAAAAGAGGGTTTTACGCTCTACTATCTTTGCTTTATATAAGATTCATGAAGACGGTTGGATTGTAATAGGCTAATGCCCTTGTTTATTATAACCGTAATCTGATGAGTATGGTTTTTCTGAGAAGGCAAAATATCATTTCTGGTGCTTCGTATTCATGAACTAATAATAACGTTAGTGATAAGAGGTTCACGACTAGTTCTCTAATAAACGTTCATTAATACTTTAACATGAACAATAATAGAACAATCTTCATATAATCAGTAGTAACTCAGTGAAATAGATCACATCTTAAAAAGTCTTCATTAATACACATCTTTTCATTGGTTATATTGGTTACTCAAGTGATTTGTAATCATTATAGTACTCTTTGTGCTAATCTGACAAAATTAGATGTGCATACTCATCACTGGGCTTGGACAGTTAATAACACAGTTGTTTTGCTGTGAAACCCATTATGTTTGGTATGATAAATTTGATTTTTGAAAATGATATAAAACAAATCCCATCAAGAATTAAACTATTCATCGGCAACATAATATTTAATTTTTGAAAGAGCTTAATTTCATATACCTGTGAAATGTTCTCTAATAGGACGCTATTTAATTTCCCACCTGTAGATACAACATTGTATGAGAACTGTACATAGGATTGGAAGTCTGAAAAATGGTACACATTGCTGAACTGAAGTGCATATTGAATATACTTATATGCCTTGGGCGACTTTAACCAAACTGTATACCTGTATATTGTAAGCCCGTTTTAGGAAAAGAGACGCATCATTCCTTGCAAAAGGTTGCCATTGATGTACTACAATGAATTAAAAAAACCTATTTTGTATGTTTGTGAATATCTGAGATTCTCGGTGAATTTCTACGCCTTCGAGGATGTTAGACGGGTTTGTGTTTGTCTGACATACTTTTAACAGCGTCCATTTTATTTTATTTTAATGGAGTTTGTTCGTTATTACCATTTAATTTGACCCTGGAGATTTCTAAGATCAGACGAAAATACGATTCGGCTTGAATCAAATTCAATTTGGTTTGAACGGTTGAGGATCTGCATTGTGATTTAATGGTGGAATTTCCTTTCTTTCTATTGACCAAAAAAATGCATTGAGGAATTTTAGGTCGTATTTTATTTTGCGTTTCTTATGAAGTATATTTTAAGTCTTAGCTATCATGCAGTACATTCATATTCTAACAGAATCAAAAAAGTTATAATGCGTTTCGTGCGTATTGTTATTTTGTGTATTAGTCTATCATGTATTATGATTGTAATTACAGTATTACATGTAACAAATAATAGGGTAACAGAAGTTACAAGTTTGTTATCACCGATTACAGAATGGAAAGTCATTGCATAACGAATATTACTCACAGCATGTTAATCACCGAGTTAAAGTTACAAATCTTGTATAGCTAAGGTACATATTACATTTCAATAAATCGCACTTTACGTAAAGACTTTGTACCATATAGTAATATAATAGAGTAGAGTTTATAACCATGGAGTAAATGATAATCAAAAGTATAGAGTATTCTTGAATTTAGAGTAACTATTGACTTTAAGTAATTGTTAAGTTGAGAGTAATCGTTGAGTATAGATAAGTCATTTGGTAGAGTATAAAGTCATAGAATATTATGGAAATCATCTAGATATGTAAAGGAACGTTTAGTAGAGGGTAAAGTCACTGAATGCAGAGTAATCGTTAAATTGAAAATACATTCATGAAGTACTGAATAATCGTTGAGTATAGATATGTCATTTTGGTATATTGCAAAGTCATGGAACATTATATAATAAATATATAAATACATAGAGGAACATTAGGTAGAGGGTAAGGTCATGAAGTATAGAGAAATCATTGAACAGATTATAAATTCATGGAGTATAGAGTAATCATTGAGTATAGAGTGATTATAGATTGATATTGATAATAGAGTACATGTATTATGCCCTGGAATATAGAGTATTCATTAAGCATACAGTCAACGTTCATAGAATTATCGTTAATAAATGAAAAATAATTGACAATATAGAGAAGGATTTCACAACGTATTAACATAATTGTGCCGTTTTTATTAATTGCATATAAGATGATTTTTTCGTTAAATTCTAAGAAGTGCTTAAATGGAAAAAAAGAAATGGTGGCAAGACAGGTTAAGTTATTTAGAGAGATGGCTTATTATTGACTACAGTTTCTTATTGATTTTATTATCTAATTAACGTGTATTTTATTAACTCAATCACAATCCTTCAATAGATCTTTATTCCATGATAAGTGAGGAATTGACGTCTATTGTGGCCTTTACAAAATATAATGTAAACAAAAAATCGAACTCTATTGAGATTCTCAAGTGGCCACAAGGGAAACTTTATTAACAAGAAATTTATTGAAGTAATTTGTGAAAACTGGTTGAGTCCACAGAAGAAAATAAAACGGTGATAAAATAGCGAATAAAATGGTTCAATATTATCTTCCTTTATTGGCCTTTCTTGACGTGGAGCTATAGTGACGGATTGACACGACAGTCTCCTTGTAAGACATGCCTTTGAAAATTGCTCATTTTTATATTAGCTTATACCTTCCCGTATCCTTCCTTAACGTTATTATGTTACTTACATCTATACAGAGAGCTTAGAAATGAAAAAATATAGTTCAGTGCATCCAGGGGACACAAAACACTTGACGGGAAATTTCAAAGGATAAGCCCGATTATGTCATTTCTAAGCGTTTTTCCGGGCAGCTATGGCCAAAGACACCATGATATTTTCAGAAAATTGAGATCTTTCAGTTTTAGGAGCAAATATATAGACTTCTATTATTATTCTGTATTTTACATGAAACAACATATGAAATATAGTTATGGATGCTTCTTTTAGAATTTCCAAAGTTGGTAACAAATTTCTCGCAGAGAAGCCAGCGTTAACCATTTCATTTCGACTGAAAATTAATACCTTCAAATTATTAAAGAAAATACAGATTGGCATTTACTTTGTATTTCTATGGCGAAACATGCAAAAAACATAAAATGAACTGTTTTCTTAACGTGAAAGCTAAATAGAATTTGGTTGCTTGTCGATGTACCTTATTAACTGTGTATTGTTGTAATTGATCTAGAAGTTATTTTCTATATTACGTATTCTGCTCCAGGATCTTAACTCATATTGAAGCTGCATATAAAGTGATTTGCAGATTAATGGGTTCAATATTGACACGTTGATTACAAATTCAAAAAACAAATATTTAATAGGGCTAATATTTAAATTGCTCGACGTATGTTGCGTTAACTGGAATTCCATAACAATATCAGTTTAAAGTGGGTATTTTAACAAAAATCACACTATTTACAAAGACAAGACATCAAATCAGCTCTTAAGAGACGCAGCAAAGTAACTAAAGTCCCACACGTAGCATTATTAAGGATGTTTTGCTATACGATCGAATATCAATTGTTTTTGTTGTTGAGGTGTTGATGACCGAGGGTCTTCATCTGAACAGTTTGAACATCCCGAATCATTACAAATATTAATTTGCAAAAGGAATAAATCAATATTTTTTCCACACTAAAACACAATAATTAGCATTCAATAGCATCATTCTGATTTTGGTAATACCTGTTTTGTGACTATTTTGGAATTTCTCGATTCAGAAGTTGACTTAAAACAGAAAGCCCTGAAAGTTTTCACTTTTCATAGTTCGCCTCATCGATTTCCAGTTACTTACTGTAGTATTTTATTTACTAGTAAATGACAATAAAGTCACAACGCATGGTTTCCGATCTGTTATTTTAACTAAAACATTTAATGGCTTAATAATCAATTAATAAGTAAATAAGTCAATACTTCTATTTCCCCGGGTCAGACTTTTGATGTATGATATTTTAGTACGTAAAGTAAATGATTGAAATAAGGTTTATCTATCTATATTAATGATTATTAATGATACTTAGTGACATTACACATTACACCAGAAACATTAATTAGCTGATGTTTCATTTCATATTTAAAATTTAGGATGCAGAAAAAGAACATTATGGTCACAAGTTTCATAAGTTACCCTAAGGAAGTGAAATGGAGTTTTACGCCTTTTCTTCTCTGCTTCTGACCTGACCAATAATTATTTATTGAATGAACTGTATGCAGTGAGCTGTTTTGGGCAATATTTTCATCTTTCATCTGAAGAAGACGATTTCCATTCCAAGCCCTTAAGAAAACCGGTTCTTTAGCGACCTATAAACAAGATGGAAGCCTCGTTCTCTGGATATGTGCGATTTAAGCAGTTGTTTACGACACAGGTGTCCCACCTCCCTCGTGACTGGTCGTTACAACCCTAAGGTCATAAAATCAAATAAACCTCATAAAAGTGAAAATTAGAAATGTATGATGCAAATTGATGTTGGAGATTCAATATTGCGAATACTGTTCTAGTAATGAACTATGATCTTGATTTCAGGAACAGGGCCAAACAAAAGCCAATGAAATCAATGTTTAAGTTCTGATAGTTTGGATATCTGTCTGTGTTTACTTTATATGAGGTATAATAAGGTTTTTATTATTTGTAAAATATCTTGATGGAAGACTCCAACGAAAACTTAATCTAAAATCGTTATTCCATTTCAAAACATAATATGAACTTTTCTTCTTTAATTACTCAGTAGTTATCCACGAGCGAGACAAAGCATGGTCATTGCTGATTTTTTACAATACTGGTATTGCTTCGTAGTTTAAAGTGATAATATGCCGATTATTTTGTGAAGTGGGCACAACTTGGGTCATGTTATAACAAAATTCAGTTTACAGCTTTTGATTTCTGGTCGAAATCTTGAGTCTAAAGTAATTCCATGCCTAGGAGGGGTGATCCTTTCTGTTCACAATTCTTTAGCTCCTAGCGCCATGGCTCAGTGAGTTATACCCTAGCATGCTGAACTTAAAGGTTCAATTCCGACATAAATGGTGACAAAACCTACTAATCTGCGATCTTTTTGTCAGTGGTGTAGGGCAAAGGGGCCAAAATGTGTAGGGGACATTAAAAAGTGAGTGTCACCGACTATGCAGAATATAAGTCCCTCGACATGGCAAAATATTCCTTCGTACAAACGTTATAAGTCTTCTTTAACCAAATTGTGTGCAGAGAAGTAGGACAAAAAAGTGAAATCTTCTTTCTATTCATTTTTATCTCTGATCATCAATTCAGCATTCATTTAACATTGTACGCAAGTAGATTTTTATTGAAGAGTTTTATTCTGTAATAGCAAGGGTAATTATGGTTAAATTTAATAACTGATTAGGTTTAATTGATAAAATTAGATGATATATTATTCTATCATTATTAGGTAGTTAGATGTAAACTACGCTTCGATTAACACTGCTTAGTAGTTATAGTCCACGTAGACATTATAGGATAAGCGATAACTCAGCCCGAACTCGTCATTAGTCCAAATCAATTTCATGTATCACCAATTTCATGTAACTACTATTCGCAGCTTTAGTTGAGGTTTTTCTACCATCCAGTGATGTTTGAAATGATAAACTTTAACATGGCTCTAATTAATAACAAGTGATTATATGGTGTAATTTCTTTCTACTGTACTTAATGAGAAATTGATTGAGTAAACGTCAACATTACGAGTTGCCATTACTCTCTTTATGAGTATAATATTTTCATGTAATTACTCGTGTTAATATAAGTAATAGTAATTTAAGAGGGAGGGGAGCTACTGGTCTCTCGTTAAATTTCAGAATCTGTATTTTATCTTGGGCCGGAGAAATTGACATTGGCAAAAAATATGCCTCACTCGTGAAGAACAATCTTCCTTCCCCGATAATAGTTGAATTACACATGCACTTGATTTAAGATCCATCTATCAGAAGTGTATTGCAATATATAGTTTCACATGATATGTTAAATGGTGTATTATTGGTTGAATATTTCTTTTTATGCAACCTTTTTGTGGCCAAATTAGAAAAAAAATAGTTAAAAAGAGATGATAGCCTTGACAAAATAAATATGCATAAATATACCAACAACTGACACTTCCTCATGATCATTTCGGTTAACTTGCTCTGAAACATTGACGAGCACAAAGTCCTTTCTTAAAATGTAACCTTCAGGTCTGTTTTATTTGTCATTCAAGATTATAACACAATTTACACTTTCACACTTTTCCATGGAAGGAGCGCCATTGTGTTTCAAGTAAAGTTCATCACTATTGTCTAATAACATTTGTAAGATATTTGACAATGTTAATCTAAACTATTGTGAAGTGACACGAGTCCTAGACGATACGTCACATTGAATAAAGTTAGTGACATTGGCTGTCATAGCCAAGAAAAAAAACAAGAACGTCTCAATGATTGCGACTGATCCACTCCAATGGTATTACCTCATACAAACATTACATTGGTAGCAGAGCTTACGAATGGCAACATCTGAGAGCTAAACTTTCAACGACTGCCAGCAACCTGGTCAATCACTGGATTCAGTAGCAATTGCTATTACAATAGTTTTCATCAGTTAACCATGTTATTTGTTCTTGAATCTTATCGTCGACCTTATCTGCTGGATTCCATAACGTTTCGCTGATGTCGATCCGATGAGGTGCAGTGAATAACACATCGAACTCAATCCAACTTCAAATTCACTTGATTGTCTCCCAGGTTTTTCTAAATTTCAGTTTGACATAGACTACACACCGTATTACCTTACATTCTGCTGTTCTCAGAAGTTACTGTTAACGACTATAACATAATGGATCATAATTCCGTTGCATTACCAGATCCTCGGAGATACAATGATGTCATCTCTGTATGTTTCGGCAAGTCTGATCACATTACGAAATTAAAATTATATTCAGTTAATTGGTAATCAGGTTTTCAATTACTAAACGTGGAAACCAATATGCTGTTTGTATATAAGGAACACAAATTCACTACATACAGAACACGAAAAATTCAAAATATAAAGAACACAAATTTAATTCAAAATAAAAAGAAACGCAAATTAAATTCAAAACATAAAAGTCGAATACAATTTAGGTTGTAATAAACCTTTTATGTTTACAGGCATTTCAATTCTACGTCCTGATCAGATTTGAAATTTAACAAAATCATTTGCCTCGTCTACGTCAACTTCAATTTTCGTGTTTATTTTCATTTGACAGAGACCGCGTTAGTTTGGGATGAGTTGCCCGAGGACCTTTCTCTCATAAAAATATCAATCAGTCGAGCACGTCAAATGTGATTTGTATAGATAACGTTGGAAGAGATTTGAACTCACGCTATTGAGACATGCCGGCAAATATATTTTCAGATGCCAATTGCTGGTAATAAATAACGTCGTCCGTCGACATCATTTTGACATTTTGTATAAATAGTACCAGAGTCTAATATGTTTGGTTATTTGTTTATTCCATCGAATAAGCAATTATCGAATGATGCCAAATGAAAAGTGCACTCAAGTCAGCTACAGATATCCAGTCGCTTTCACTGGTCATTTAAAATGTCATAGTTCCAAAGTTTTATTTTGTTTCTGAAGTATCTTCGGATGATTATAACAGCTTTACCAAGCCTAAAATAAAAATACTTTGCGCATGATTAGCGATTCCTTAATTCTGGTCTGACTCGTTATTCATGAATACCGAATTCTGTCCATGCAATTATGAATAGCTACATACTTTCAAACAGTATAATAAATTTCCATGGGCATCATGGGTTCTTATTTCCTAGGACTTTGTCGCAAAGTAGACAAAGAATTCTAATAATATTCATTAATTCATATTCAAAGTCCTAACATCAATGAGCTATGGTTTAGCGGATTAATTTAGCTCAGACAAAACCTTTTATGTGGTCCATTGCACCATGCTTGGCTTTATCAATTAAATCTATGCAAAGCTACAAACATCAGCGACGTTCAGCTAATTGACATTGAAGCCAAGCGTGAACTATGAATCTGTATTTAGTTATTGACATCGGCGACCTTTAGCTAATATGTGTTGACAATATAATCATGGTGATCATCCGCCCCTTTTATAATATTCCTATTAATTCTTCTCTCTGCCTTATTAACTTGTATTTTCTGCATGGTTTATCGTTTTGACCGGTTTCTAAATTAATCAAAATCTACAATCAGACTGACGATTTTCACTTGGCTAAATTTTACGAGAATAGATATTTTCTATTTCAAATCAATATTTGAGGAAATAATTTAAAGATGTAAGTGTAGGAGGTGATATAAAAAATAATGATAATTGGTATCTTTAGTTAAAGTCTTGATATTGTTACTTTGACATATGGACACACCATTCTTCGCCCATTTCAAAGGTCAACCATACTAAAATATAAAGATACGTCTGGTCGGTATTGTATGAAGATAACTGAAAATTAAAGGAAACAAAGACATAGTCCTGTGGATAAATTCAGAAAGATAACAAATAATTTAGTGAGTTTTCGAACAAGTTTAAGTCATTTACAAATACTTCGTAATTTCCATCCTTAAAATTGAATATTACATGATAGTTTGATGATTTGAAAAAGGCTGTTGAACTTGTCTAATATTAAAACCTAACTGAAAGTTACCAATTGTTCGAAAGTTTGTGTTATTAAAGAACTGTTCGTTTTGATATCAGTTCTGTATACTTCACATCTTGCTGTTAGTCTTCATTTTATGAATTTGTATTTTCTATTTCAGGTGTGTAAAACACCAGAATGTATAGAAACAGCGGCCAGTATTTTGGGAAGAATGGTTCCTGATGCCAATCCATGCCAGGTATGTCTTCTTCTAAGAACATTTAGTCAATCATCATAGAAATTATAGTAACAGTCAAGAGTAGAGCGTATCTGTAAAGCAATGTTTGTGCCAATGGAATTAAATTATTATTTTGCTCTTAAAATTTCCATATCATTTCAGATCATGTCATCACTCTTTTTCCTAAATTCAGAGGAATTCAAGGAATCATTAAAGTGCACGTGAATCCAAACCCCTCTGTCTCGCTTAACAATCCGGATTGCTTATAATTAGACATAAAAGAAACGACTATTTTACTAGTTCCGTACCATTTTGTGTGTGTACATGTAACGTAAAGTCTGTATTTCTGTCAGAAGTTTTGTATGTTGGGTCCGAAATCACAACGTATGTAACAACGATATGTATGAGAAACATAATAAATGAGAAGCAAATCTTAAATTAGATCGTAAGGTTCTAACAATCTTATTAAATGTAATAAAATCACAATTGTAGTCAATCAATACGAGACTAGCCCTTGACTTCCAGACTAAAGTTTTAAAGCATGATATTTTGAAGTAAATACAAGCAAAATTATTTGCTTGCTCAATCATGTTTCACTGTTTACTTTTTACTCGATCAACTTTAAACTATCTAATGTAACAGACGATGGCCATCTTGCCGAACAATAGAAATAATCAAAATCAGACGAAATGAAGATGAAATAAAGGTAATATTTTTGGTCTACCAGTTTCAGACAGTTCCAGCTAATTTATCTTTCACTCTATTGACTTCGAACAATATATATTCTCTTTATATTCCAGTTTCTAAACTTAATCATTGGCTTGAACAGATAACTGTCTCAATAGTACCATTCATAAAAATCACTTTTTAACCTTACTTAAACCAGACATCATAGTATCAGTGATCAATGGTTATTACGTTGTTGTTCGCTTCACTAAAGCAGAACCCATCTGGTCTAAAATAAGTTTGCTTAAATACGCTTGCTCGTAAAGGCTAGCTAAAGGGCTTTTCACGACTTGTCACCTCTATTTTCACTACTTTGTCCATGACCATCCACTAAAGCAGAATACATCCAGAGTAAATTAAGCTTAATTCCCTTGCCCTGAAAGCCTAGCTTAAATGCTCACCATGACTTGTCTGAACGAAAAAAAAAACACTTCTATGCTCGCTGCTTTGCCCATGATCTCTCATTTAAGCAGAACCTACCAAGTACAAATTAAGCTGGTTTAATTCACTTTCTCTGGAATCCTAGCTTATATGTTCATTATAACTGGTGTGGACCTAAAATCTTAAGCCTATGCTTTCTTCCAATTTCACAGTGTTTGCGACATTCACTGGGTAAAATCTTATAGGAGAGATCGAGATGTTATCAGGGTCGTAGAAAATGCTTCTTGAAAGTAGGTTTCACCAATTTTGAAATCGCGATGTTCATTATTATTAACAGTTAACTGTCAGCAATAGTTAAAGTTGTAATATCTTTTTACGATACAATGTTAGGGAATATACTCTCAGTTGTATATGTCCAAATGGGTGGTCTCTCGGCTCCCTATATAGATACCCCGTTGTGTACTTTAAAACGTAACCATTGAAGCCCGATTGGCAACTTTGAGACTGAACCTCTTGGTAATAGAAAGAGCACTGCGTCTACTAATTTAAATAAATATTCCAATATATCATTATATAAGGTTACTATTGACTACCTATTGAAGCTGAAAGTGGAAATGGTGTAAAATTAAGACATGGAACGAATCATGATATTGACTTACATCATCGTAAAATCTTAATTACATAATAAAGATGACGTATAATAAAGTAATGGCTCCTACGCGTTTTATCCGTCTTCCAATATATAAGCAGAGATGGAAATACCAATTATTTAAACTATGTACGAACTTATACAAAGAGAGTCTGGATCAAGATTTTGGTCATATACGTAGAATATGTAGCTAAATATTAAATCCTAATTATAATCTCGAAAAACAACTGCTCAAATTAACTTGTACATATGCAGAAGAATAGTTATTTTGATTTTGACTAAATTATCGATGCATTTTTCATCGAATACTAAAAGACACAATTGGGAGAATCAACAAATTTTAAAGTTATCGGGTCGCACTAAAATAAAAACATATTTCGAAGACTAACAATTCACAATTCTCGTGTTCATTTTTGATGATGGGAACCATGACCTATTCAAACTTAATCGCACAATAGAAAAACAATATGGGAACTACCATGGTTAGCAAGTTTAATATCTCTTTGTTAACAAATTCCATCGGCTTAGGATCACAATTTCTTCTTTTCTATTAATCAAAGTAGTTAGCGGATTTCATTTTCGGAAAACTTGAAGGGGATTACTAAGATTTGGAGAAAAGAAGTTCTGAAAATGCAATTTAGGATAAAAAGAGCAAAGGGGAATGAATCAAAAGTGTTCACAATTTAAATTCTAATTATCTCACAGGATTAAGGAGCCTTATACAGGCTTATGTTAAAATGTTTACGATGATTGCATTTAAAAAAAGGTTACTCTTTTGGAAACGGGTTACTGATCTGGAATGAAAATCTGCCATAAACTTATTGGGTTGGAATATTTTCGCTTCGCAAGTCAATCTGTTGATTTTCAATAAGATCTGTTAGGTTTCAGTGAACCTAACTTTCCAATCGGATCAAAGATGGCTTCTATTCATACCGATTTAAAATAAGTTGATGGTACTCGAGAGAATAGTTTCCGTAATTTACAAATATGAACATGAAAGCAGCAAGCCAAAGAGAGATTAAAAGTCTTTAAGACACCGTTTCTCACCATTTCCTGTTTGTTTCCACTTCCGGTTTATCGCCATCTTGAGGCTTCTGTCACAATAATTACTCCATCTTGATGCTATAAATTGTGCCTCTTTATGCTTCTGTTACTATTTCAATTTGACATCATTTGTTGAATGTTATTAAAGTGTAAGGGTACTTATGAACACCAGAAAGCAAACCTAATATATTCTCATGACGCCCGAATTATGAAACTTAATGTCTAAGTAAACTTTTGTAAGAAATCAATCAAGCTATGTAGATATCATCAACGTCTACTTCCGAAGTATAAAGCAACATATTTCCTTAGTATTGATAAATCAACTTGTTAGCATCCTTTCCTTACACAGTCAGACTGTCGAGTCGAAATACATCACTGATTGCTTCATCAATTAATGGCTCTTCATTCGTCAATTTGTCATATTAAGGTATACTTGAATGCAGAAGGTATAGAACATTTCACCAAATAACGCAATTATTGAGGACATGAGGTCTATCTCGCTTCTTCCTCAGATTAGACGAGTCGATGGTCTTGATTAATTTTTCTCGAGAAAGGCGATTTACTGTTAGCAGTGAATATCAAATTAGTTGACCCTGTAAATTGGGTAAACGAAACTGACCAAAATAATTTGGTGCGAACAAAAGACAAGTGATTGAAGGATTGAAACAAATCATGGGTGTTTGGCTGATCAATTGCTGTTGATTGTTTGGTGTCCAGACTGTACCATGCACTAGATTTAGTTCGGCTGGATAATTAACTACTAAATGCATTAACACACGAGATCATGACACGAAACTCTGATTTGATTGAATTAGTAGAATTATCTAGCGTCTCACCTTGCTGGCTAAATGGATCTAGGTGGTAGTCGTATAGAGAATGACTGGTGTGAGACGACAATGCTGAGACTAGCTGATAATGAGGACTTTATCCAAAATAAAATACATTTTATCCTCGTGTATTAGTGCTAATTTGGGGCATTATATTTATAGAAAATTCAGACATAACAGATTTTCCCATCAAGATTTCGCTAGTCTGGTGATAATTTTGTGGCTTTCTTTTCGACTTTAACAAATCTGTCTCTGTTTTCATGAAACATGTTAGCTTGGAGGACAAAATGATTCCTGCAAGCCACTCTTCAAATTATCATCAGATGTAATAAAAAAAAAGCGCTGTGCTGCTGCCAATCTAAGCACTAGACTTTGTTAGTCCAATAACGTTAGAACAGAAAAACTAGATTCATAGCCGACTCATGGAAATTTGTTGTTATAAAGATAATAAAATTGCCTTCCCTTAAAATTGTATTGTTGATTTCTCTAATATAACAAGTATAAAGACCTACTATAAGTTTCAAACAGTAATCGAATATGGAATATCATACATTATGCGTACTCGATAAAGTGTTATTATGTTATTGTGTACTCCAATACATGTTTCTTGCATGTTCTCTGTGCGACCAACGTTCATTGACCTTGAATAATGGTCCATTAGAGTATTTCCAGATGATTTAAGACATTTTCCACAATTAAACAAACAAAACAGATATATAATTAGTACCATCCTCTAGCCACAGATCTCTTATAATGGCATTGATTTTATTATGGTAAAAGTAATGATACGGAAAAAAGATTTCATGGGTTTGTATGCGTCCATTATAGAATGCTTTGTCCGGAGTTCATAATTTTACTTCAATTAATACAGTATTGAAGACTAATGGGTACCATTAGTTCGTCTTCTTGAGCTTATTCTATATCATAATCGCGCAATATTTTCACTATTTCAATGACTGATAACCAGAGCACCTGCCTTATTTCCCTAAGGTTGAAAATGAACCTTGGTTTGATGTCGGGTCAAGGTAACCCTGGAACTAACTTGACAGAATAGAGACTCAGTACGATGATGAACATCTTACAACATATGTTTTTTTTATTTCAAACAGAATTTTCTACTTCAACCATCTGCTCAATCAATTCTTGAATTATTGTCAAAAGTAAAAGTACATTCCTTTTTTGGTTCAATCCTACTGATCTTTGTAAAGTGAATTACGCACTTCTATGAGTAATAAAGTAAAAGACATAATCGCCAACCTTCCGCCCAACTATCTGAGGTTATGTGCACATTAGTGGAGTGATGGACCTTTTCGATTCTTTTTCTATGTCGGTCTCTCTCCTTTGCATTAAATGTCAGTATTTTACATAATAATTCCCACAAAAAGTGCTGTTTTTTGATTTAACCTACAACACGTTTTATTCTTTCAGAATGATCTTTACTGACAATTATGAACTTTTTTGCAAGGTTACAATTAAGCCTATGGCCGATTTCCCTTGAAACCAGACATCATAAGCCACAAGCCATGTTCGTAGTATGTTATGAAATGAAGGAAATTGTTAGGATATATTTTACAATGGTTATTTCCTGGTCAATAATT